CGTGAAGTATAAGCGTTACCAAATATAAGTGTATCACAAGTGGAAACATTATCAAGTAGGAATTTAAACCAAGTAAAAGCGAAGTAGCAGCTTCTAACAAGCAAGAGTATACGACATGGAAGACAACTTTGATGAAAACCTTGGAGGCACCATTTAACCCCTTTATAGGAGTTTACGGCCTAGGTACCCTTCCATGAGGGGTTTACGGCCGTGAACTCCTTATGGAGTTGTTTTAATTGAGTTTAAGGTCCCTAGCTTGTTGGTGATTGATTCTAGAATTTAATCCAAGGCCATTGGTGTGTTTAAGGGCATTTTTAACAGACAAATATGAGTTTACTCCCCATGAAGAGGAGTTTACGGCCCAAGCATGTTCTTGGGCAGTAAACTCATGTTTACTCCCCAAAATGCTAGTTCAAGGTGTTCTAATTCCGAATATGTAAGCCTAAAAGTCATATCTAAGCCTTAGGGGCAATTTAGAGGGGTTTTGGGGCTTAAAAAACCCCCCATTAAATGGTGTTTACGGTCCAAGAGTGTTCTTGGGCCGTAAACACATCAATTTTGTCCCTATTTTATGTTTTAAACTCGAATTTGCAGGCTAGATAAGCTATTTAACAAGTTAGGATAGGTGGCTTACTCGTTTGGGGCTCGGAACGGATAATTTTTGGCTCGAAACTAAGTTGTAGAGAGAGAGTATAGAAAGAGAGTGAAAAAGGGTGAAATTAAGTTTACCCTCCCTTATATAGGGGTTGGAGTTGGGGATCAGGGGAAATTTACTCGATACTGCTGTAAAACGGGGCTTTTTGGTCGCACCCGATTAAACGGTCAAATTTTTGACTTGGTTGTAACTAAAACATTTTTAAGGGCATTTTGTGGGTGTTTCTAATTTGTTTCAACCCTTACCAAGTCATTATAAAAGTTCCCATATAATTAACCTCTTCCAAAAGGTTAACGGACAGTTAAATAAAACGAAACTTTTTTTTAACGGAAAACGGTTGAAACTGACCGAATAGATTTCAGGTTGTCACAGATGGAGATGTAACACGGTATAGAGAGATGGGAGACATAATTGACGAAAGGGAAAAAGGATACCAGAGGAAGCAGGTGAGATGGAGATGTACCACAATATAGAGAGAAATACTTGATTTCAATTTTGATTTTGTGTTTCCTCCTTCTTCATCATCATCAAATCTAGAAATTGAATTTGATTCCGATTTTGATTTTGATTTTGAGTTTCAGGTCATGTTAGGATTGATTTTATTTTGATGGATTCATCGTGGACTTAATTTTGATCGGTTACTTGTTTCGACTTTGAAGATGAAGATACGTTGAGACTTTGATTGCAATGAGATGTCATGAACTCGTGCTTTTGATTGCTTATGGTTTTCATTTTTGTTGATTGAATCTAGTTGGTATTTTAAGGTTTCAAATATTGAATTGTTGTTTCGATGGTGATGGATATGATTCATAGAAATAACTTTGTATAGGAGCAGTGGATGGATCAATATGATCATTAGGATGGTATTGGGTTTCACTAAGAAGGCAGACAGGTTGAAATTGGTGATGGTCTCTAGTGTTCTTAAGGCAGATGGGGAGAACGAAGATAGGGGATGGTGGTTTGGGGTCCGATTTTGGTTCACCGATTTGGGGTTTTGGATGGTTTTCAGGAATGGGTGAGAAGAGGGAGACGAAGGTAGAAGGAAACTGGGGAAAAAGAAGGGGAAGGTGTTTGCGGTGATAGGATGTGGTGACATAGGTGTTGATATTGATAGGCGGTGGTGCCGGAGGAGCTGACGGTGACATGTGGTGGTGCTTTCGAATCTTGTTGCAGAAGATGGGGAAATGGAAGGGGAGGGGGAGGGGTGAGGATATTTGTTTCATTATTATTATTTTAAATTTAAACTAATAAAGAAATAAAAAAAAAATATAAAAAGAAATTATTAAGGGCAAAATAGTCATTTCATATCAATAGGGATGAAGTGTGTAAGTTTAAAACAAACAAGGGACCATCCGAGTTAATTTTTAAAAATAGAGACTAAACGTGCTTTTTGGCACATGCACGAGGGACGAATGATGTAATTTACCCATTAGTTTATAATCTATGAGAATCACGGTTAAAAAATTAATTAAACTTTCATAGTAAAAACTCAAAATTATTAATCAATTATTTTAAATAAATTATTAATTAAAAGCTATTTTTCTAGTTATATAAAATTATAATCGTTGATTTAAATAAATACGTGACCATATAATATGTATTAATTTTTTTTATTTAATGTTTAATTTAATTTAATGTAAATAAAATGAAAATTTAAATTTTGAAATTTAAAATGGATAATCAATAGATTGATATGTACAATCACATTAATTATAAGGCTTAATAAATAATACATGACAATCAACTTATTCTTTTATTAGAATAATCAAGATTATTATTAGAACAAGGATAGGAATGGGCAGAATCTCATGCCCATATTATAATATTTGGGAATCTCCTAAGCAATCGTTAAAACTTAAAAGTAATAAAGGAAGCATATTTTCCATTTATTTATTCCAAATGTTGTTTCTTTCTTTTACGTTGCCTGATTTACAACAAATTGTTAAACTTATGCAAACGTGGTTCGAAAAGTAAGTGGGAGCTTACAGAGATAAATCCATGAGACTATTGTTACGCTAATAGAATTGCAAACAAAACCCGCATTAACTATGTCTTAGTTTAATATAGAATTATGCTTTTGTAAAAGATATATCAAAAATATTTTAAGCATGAGTTATTAATGAGTTCCACCAACACTTACTAGTTTTTACCTGATGCATACATTTATTCTTTATTAAAAGGTTATAACTATTACCGAAAGTATGAATTTAGCTAACTTTTAAAAAACTTGGAAATTTACATATTTTTCCAAATATAGAAGGACAATTACTATAACCTCCAACAACTTTCCATTAATAGAAAGTTTATCCTAAGCAGCGTGCGTCTGAACTTTGGTCCTCAAATGGGCCGGAACAAATTCTGTGGGCCCGCTGGCCACCGTGTAAAACCACGTGGCATTGGTCTTTGCGTATACGTTAGTTTATGAGACTTTGCTGAGCTGTACTTCAGTTGTCAACCCTCTAGCCAAAGCAGTGGCTCAACCGCTCAAGTCAAGATTTGCACATAATCCGTAAAATATTGTTTTCTTTATTGTTATTCTTGACAAATCAGTTGATAAATTATTATATTATACGTAAAAGAAACATATATAAATTTAATTATAATTTCACAAGACAAATTGTTTAAAATAATGTGTTTTGCCTCAACTAGCACAAGCTTTATCTTCAATTTAAACTAAATTAAATGACTTTAAATACATAATCATACAATAATTTATAACTATATAATTATAAACATATTCATCTCAAACAAACATATATAGTTATGTGATTAGATGTTATGATTTAATTATGAGTTAAATTAAATGATCCAAACAAAATATATGAAATAACTAGGTGCGATTTGTGAAAAATCTGAAATTAATGTTCAATATTTTTCTTTTAGCCAAAAAGTGGTTACTATAATATTCTTTTTGCTCTTGTTAATCATAGTGAAAATAATTGTGAAATTGAAAAGTAGATAAGCATTCTTATTATAGCATGGCTTAGCGGCTAGTTGTCTTAGCCAAGCCAGGACAGAGCTGGTGAAACTCGGCTTGTGTACGCCAAAATTAAATTTTATATAATTTAATGCGTTTTCTTTTAGCATGAATACAACGTCAATTTGTATCTCCTTCGTCATCAACTCCTGTCCATCCTCCTTCCGCTAGTCCTCTTCCTTCTCTCACCACCTGGAAACTTCGATTCTTGCTTTCTCAGCGTTCCCGATAAAGCAAGAAGTCGCCGAAGTTCAGTTAACCTCCGGTGTAGAGATGCCGGCAATGTGGAAACTCCGGTGGCTACTTAATATACTGCTATTTGTGTGTTCGGTATCGTTGACGGATGCCCGGGGATCTAGTAACAGAACTAGTAAATGGAATACGTTAACCGGTATAGTATTATTGCAATCAATTCTATGCGATTCTCATTTTCTAACATTGTTCGTGTTTCATTTATTTGATTGCATGTTAAGTTTTATTTTCAGAATTTAATTTCAAATTTTCGAATGTAAAATTGGAGATACATTGTAATAATGCGTTTCAGTTCTAAGATAGAGATCGAATTTAATAAGGCAGCATCAAATCGGTTAAATTTATGGAAATCAGTTGCGAACTTGTGTGCTTCTAAGGGCATTTTTGGGTGTGTGCTTCAACTATGAACAGTTTTGAACGTCTAGGTAAAATAATCAAATGGAGGACGATTGCTTAGATGATTTTACTATTTCTGGTTTTAATCAACTCATTGTACGAAGTAATTATTAGAAGATTAGATGAGTTAGGGTGTGTAATTATAAATTATTGCTGCATCAATCAACACCTAAATGATCAAATTGACTAAGTTTCGTCATTTGTGCGTATTTTTATTGCATGTTCTTCAACTCTACTTCCCTACCTTTTCAGGAGAACGCCCTTTAGTCATAGCACGTGGTGGGTTTTCAGGAGTATTTCCTGACTCGAGTGTAGATGCTTACGAAATGGCGAAGATGCTTAGTGTTCCCGATGTGATCTTCTGGTGCGATGTGCAGTTAACTAGAGATGCAGCTGGGATCTGCTTTCCGGACCTTGATCTTAATAATGCTTCCACCATTAGCCAAGTCTTTGGTAACAGATCCCAGACATACCCTGTCAATGGAGTACCCCACAACAGGATGGTTTCCTGTTGACTTCTCACTCGATGATCTACAAAAAAATGTCTTCTGTAAGTTAAATTTTCATTCTAATTAATACTTCACGATACCACTGAACTACACAAGATTCCCTTTTTATGTGTCTGATATCTGCAACTTTATGATTTCATGAATAAACTCATGATGATTCCTTTTGTGCAATGAACAGTAACACAGAACATCTTTTCCCGAACACCATACTATGATGGCTTGTTTCCCATCCTTACTTGTAGATGATGTTGCAAATCAGGGAAGATTGTGGTTGAACATCCAGGTGATTATTACTTTGTAGATTAATAGAAAGTGCTAATGGCATACAGGCATAGGCAACAAATTATGTTTGCTAACCTCCCTTCTGTTTATACTTCTGCAGCATGATGCATTTTTCAGGCAACACAATTTGAGTATGAGAAACTTTGTGATTGATGCTTCTAAAAGAAATCCTGTTAAATACATATCATCACCAGAGGTGGAATTTCTGAAAAGTATCATGACAACATTCAAATCAACCACCACAAAACTAATTTTCAGATTTCTAGAAGTGAACAAGACTGAGCCCTCAACCAATCAAACATATGGTTCACTTTTAAAAAATCTGACATTTATCAAGACATTTGCTTCTGGTGTTTTAGTTCCTAAATCATACATATGGCCTATGGATAATGACTTCTATTTACAACCATCTACCTCATTGGTCTTGGATGCCCATAAAGAGGGTTTACAAGTATTTGGTTCAGATTTCATGAATGATGTGCAACTTGCGTATAATTACAGTTATGACCCTGTAGAAGAGTATCTGTATTTTGTCGATAATGGCAGATTCTCTGTGGATGGTGTTCTTTCCGACAACCCAGTGACTCCATCAGCAGCTTTTAGTAAGTTTTGAACCCTTTAAATCTCATGATATGATTCTGCCTTCATATATTGAAAAGGGTTGAATGCAAGAAATAACATTCTCTTTCCATAAGCTA